GTGCACGTAGTGCGGCAGGTTGTTGTACAGGTAGGGGAACGTGACGCGGCACGCGGTGGTACAATAGTGCGGACGCGGCTCACCAGGACAGGTGCACGTAGTGCGGCAGGTTGTTGTACAGGTAGGGGAACGCGACGCGCGGTGGTACAATAGTGCGGACGCGGCTCACCATGACAGGTGCACGTAGTGCGGCAGGTTGTTGTACAGGTAGGGGAACGCAATGCGGTACTCCGTGCGGATTGGCTGACGGATGATGATCTTGTTGATGTCGTTGAATTCGTTCCAATCCTCGTCCCTGCGCATCGACGAAACAAACAAACAAATGAATAAACGACCGATTACGATAGACTGCCGCCGGCGCCGATCGACGTAGTACTCAACAAGACTGACACTGCAACAACGGGAGCAGTCCAACTTACGCTCCCCCCAATCCTGGTCCGTTACGCGTGCCACGAAACGTCAATTGAAAAAACGACAAGGGAAAACGATCTTGAGGAGAACTTCGCCGAAGAAAAACCCCCACGTCGCACCAGCTACACATAAATCTGCTAGGATTCCCCCCTCCCCCCAAAAAACCGAACGGCGTGAGCCGAAAAACCAGGGCCCTTTCCGCGCGATTTACCAGCGACGAAATGATCTCACCCCCTCCCTTCCCCCGGCTCCTCCTACCTCTCCCCACCGCACCCTGCCCCCGGCCTCTCCCAATCACGTGCCATGCCCCCCCTCGCACCGCTGCCAACCTCCCGGAGACTCACTGGAGGCTGGAGTCCTTGATGAGTGGCTCAAACTTGGGTCCGCCGGGGATTGCGAGGTTGAGGGCCTTCGCCGTGAAGAAAGCCTTCAGGTCGAACAAGTAAAAGTAATTGTCGTCGACAAGATCTGCAAGAGCGGAGACGGCGGCGGACGTTAACGAGCGCTAACGAGCTGTTAACGAGATGACGAACGTTAGAGTCTCGCTCGGCGCCTCACAAAATAATCGCGAGGTGAGGTGCTGACACCACAGCACGACACAGCGGCTCAATACCACAATGACACGCCACAACGCTATGGCACGACACCACAGCACGACACAGCGGCTCAATACCACAATGACACGCCACAACGCCATGGCACGACACCACAGCACGACACAGCGGCTCAATACCACAATGGCACGCCACAACGCCATGGCACGACACCACAGCATGACACAGCGGCTCAATACCACAATGGCACGCCACAACGCCATGGAACGACACCACAGCACACCACAGCGGCTCAATACCACAATGACACGCCACAACGCCATGGCACGACACCACAGCACGACACAGCGGCTCAATACCACAATGACACGCCACAACGCCATGGCACGAAACCCCAGCACGACACAGCGGCTCAATACCACAATAGCACGCCACAACGCCATGGCACGAAACCCCAGCACGACACAGCGGCTCAA